TTTTTCAGAATTTATTCTTATTTTTTCTTCACGTTGAGTACCTGTTGCCCAATGTTGTAATTCACCTGATGCAAATATCATATAGAATAATGAACAAAGATAAAGAACAAAAGATGCAATTGTAAATACATGACGCCATCCAATTAAATCCTATAGAAAAAAGAAAAAAACAATTGAAGAATTAAAATAAAAACTTTTAAAAACCTGTTCTTTAGTAAGAAGACCAGCAACAATAGGACTAATAATACCAGCTGATGTTCCTATAACTGCAGTAAAACCAGCTATAACTGATGCATAACGTGGAGATAAATCTTGATGATTTAAATGCCAACCAGATACCATTAATCCACTAGAACCAACACCTACAGTTAATAATCCGATTCCAACATATGGATTTGCTACATGACACATTATTAAAAGACATGTTCCTTCTATTATATATCCTATTTTAAAATAAATAAAAAGTAATTTTTTTTCTAAATTAATATTTTAATAATTATACCAGTACAAGTCATAAATTTTCTAACATTTGTTGTTGACCATAATAAATTTAAACGCATATAATCAGCAATAAATCCACTTGATAGAGCAACAAGAACTTTCATAATATGTGGTAATGATCCAAGTGTACCATTTTCTGTTACACCAAATCCAAATGCATTTAGAAATGCTGGTTGATTTGTTAATAATAAATAAAATGTCCAACCACGTGCAAAATGTGCACAACATAATGCCCAAACTGGTAAGGAAAATAAAATTAGTTTCCATGGAACTTTATTTTCATTATCTGTTTCATTGTCACCATATAATGATTTAACATCAGCAATACTTTTTTCAATATAAATTAATTCTTCTTCAGATATTGTTGGATGTTCAGTTGGTTTATCATACACAAGATATACAAATAATAAAGACCAAATAAGACCAAGAATAGCTAGAACAAAGTTTTCATTTAGATTTAACGTATATAGATTAAAGAAAAAAGCAATCAGTTATATATTAGATAAAATACTACACAACAATAAGCACACAGACCCACCCGATTATAAATTATTATTGAGAAAAATTTCATCTTTCATAAAAAGAAGGACCAAGAAATAATATTAATAAATAAATAAAGATTTTCTTCATCATACCTGATGCATAATAAATCGAATAATGTCCTGCATATTTAGCCATCATACCACCTAAGAAAAAGCCAACAACTGGACCCGCATAAAGACCTTGAACAAAAATATTTATTAATTTAATTTTTTGAAACAAAAAATGATCTACCTGTATAAATAAAACCACCCATTCTTCCACGTTCACATGGTGGACACCAATTAGCAACAATACCATGAGATGATGGAAATGCACAACCCTAGTTTGAATTAGTTACAATTGAAATATCTAAAAGTTAAGAATGAAAAATTTGATCTTACTGCACAAAGTCCTTGAATTAATCTCACGAGACCAGTTAAATAATAATTTAATCGATATGCCGAAGTTACGTCATTGATTGTTAATGGCATTAATAAATTTAATATAAATACAATTAATAAAGGAAATAAAAATATTCTAAAGAAAAAACAAAATCCTAGTGTTTTTTTCTTAATCGAAATAAATTTGAAAATGTACTTTGTTGCTGAATATTTATGACCGAGAAATCCAGCTGGTATATGTGTTAAAATATATCCAAGATAAAATATTGAATTTAAATAACCTAATTCAACTGATGTCCAAGTTACTTTTGGTGGCTAAAAATAAAAAAAAAACGATAAAAATAAGAAAATAATTTGTTGTAAAATATTTCTCACTGTATTTGGTAATTGATTATCATCAAGAAGAATATCTTTTGAATCATTTGGATTAAGAATTAATGAATTTGTTATTGCAAAATTGGTTTGAATAACAGTTAATATAAGTAAACCAAGTGATGTTAATAATGCAACAATAACACGTTTTGGAATATAAAATAAATTATTAGGAATCGATTTATTTGTCGAATTTACATTTTCATTTGTCATTTTTATTGAAAGAAAATTACTTAAAGAAGATAATGGCATTAATTGATTATTTCAATTAATTTAATAAACAAATATTAACATGCAATTATTACACAATAAATTCGAATCAATATTTTATCTAAAAATAACGTTTTTTTTATTAAAAAAAAAGAATTCAAATCTATTCTTATCAATAATATTTCAATGTCATTTATTCTTAATGGAATCATATTTCATTATTTGATGTTTTTTTTGTACCTAGAAAATAATTGATTATCTTATCATTGAAAAATGAAAATGAATATTTGTATTACAACAAAATCATTTGTTTATTTAATAGAATGCGATTACTGTGTTTAATAACGTTATTCATTGCATTTACGATTAATTATTGTGAAGATTTGGAAAAATATCGTTTACTTCGTGGACAATGTGAACGTTTTCCATCAAATTCTGAATGTGTAGAACTTAAATTAAAATTTTTGAATTTAGTTAAAAAATGTCAAAAAATTACAACACCTCAACAACGTCTTATATGTCAAGAAGTTCAAGTTAAATTATGCTTTCTTTTCCCATCAGCTTGTGGTCAAACAACACAAAAACCAACTTCTTCTTCTTCTTCTCCAGCAAAAAAGAAAGTAACTAAAAAAAAACTTGTAACAAAACCAAAACTTGTCGAAACAACCACAACCACAACAACAACAACAACAACTGTAACAAAACCCAAATCAGTAGTAACAACAAAGAAATCGACAATAATAACAACAATTACAACAAGCAAAGAAAAGTTAAGTATAAATTCTACATTAAGTAATGAAGAATTTGTTAAAGTTCCATTTGATCCTGATGAATTACGAACACGTGGTGAATATTGTATTCGACATGGAAAAGAAAAAAAATGTCAAGAATTATTAACTAATCTTAAAACAACATATTCAACATGTGGAAAAAAAACAGCTACACCAAAACCTCAACAGATTGATTGTCATTCATTTCAAACACATCTGTGTAAAGCTTTTCCTAAATTTCCACCATGTCTTAAAAAAACAACAACATAAAACAATTATTTATCGAAAAATAATAACGAACAATACAAATTTTCATTTTCATTTTATTTCTTAATTATAACAATTTCAAAAAACGCTATTAAATTTGCCCTAAAAAACAGGTGTTTATAAAAAAAAGAGCATATATTGAATTTTGTGTATTCCAAACTTGATCGAAAGATAGGAAACTATTCGATTTATATAATGTGTTGGCTTGCATACGAGATCGAATAAGCTCGTTTAGTAGTTTTATCGAATTGAATCATTATTAAATATTTTAAATACGATTTTCAGATAAAAATTGTTTCTTTTGTCTGCTGAGACATCTAAAAATTGAAAATAATTTAATTTACTTTGTTAAACAATAATCATCAACCGATGAATAGATTTATAATCTCCATTTCGATTATTATGGATATTTTAACGAAAATAAACTATTTATATAACTTCGACATCGAGAATCTATCGAATTTGATATTGCTCATTTCTTCATAATCAATAAAGGCGATAAAATAATATTTCAAAACTTTGATTTAGTTCATTACTCTTCAATTGAATATAAATAATAAGAGAGATGAATTTATTTTTACCTTATTCTGTTTATTTCGTTGAAATAATCTACAATATACGTAAATTCATTCTAACAATGCGTAAAAAGTGCATTGCAGATTAATATCAATTTATTTTTTGTGCAAAAAAAAGTAAGTATAAAAAAAACGATACACATACGGAATGTTTATGATAGAAAGAAAAAAGAGCAAAAAAAACAAAGAAATATCATATCAAATACTAATTTACAAATTTGAAAAGAAAAAACAATAGACGGATTAGTTAGTTTTGTCAAATAGAAGAAAAAGTGGAATGTTATCTAGTCTTTTGCTTTTTTACAAGAGATTCATCTAAATTAATTTATAAAATATAAAAAA